CTGCCCTGGGTGGCAGTGCTGGGAGACACAGTTCATTTCTACTCTTGGTCCCTTTCCCCAGGGAATTGCCAGAGCCTCACAGAGCTTTGTGCTAAGCCCTGTATTCTTTGCTTTGCCCTTTTCTCTTCTTTTAAAAGGACCCTTTCCACAGTGCTTGGGAAGGTACTCAAAGCCTTCTTTTCACACCTGCCTTGCTGTCCTTTGAGCTACTGGCTTACAGTGACCAGGAAGAGGAAAGGACTGCACTCACACCTCCTGAGTGCCCCCCCCCCCACGTTTTCTCACTTACTGCTCACAAACGGCTGGGCAGGTGCTCTCTTTACAGATAAGTAAACTGAGGCTGAGGGAGGATCGATGACTTAGCATTCAGCACAGGCCTCTCTGGTTAACGCTAGTGCTTTGCCCCAAGGTTTGCCCGTGATCTTTTCCTTAAGAGTAAACTGGTTCTTTGAAGCACTCAGCTCAGCCTTCTTCTGCGAAGTGTCCTTCCTCAGCGTAGTCTTTAGCTCAACTTCCCTTTGCTCCTGGAGAGAAGGAGCTCGGAGCTAGAGAGCGCTCAGTGCTTGTGACACTTTCATGGTTTTTTTTTTTTTTTTGCTTCTGCTTCTTATTCCCAATTACTTGCATCTCTAAAGGGCTAGCATCTGACTCCCTGATCTGATGCTGCTTTTCTAAGATACACCTCATAAAAAGAGGATTAATAGATTTTATTTTGAAATGAGAATCAATTAATTAATGTTTTAGAAAAATCATGAGTCAGTACTGTTAGTTTTACAATCCATAGTAACAAAAAAGCCTGATTTTAACTTCCTGAATGGGTATCAGCAACAATTGCAGCCCGTATTCTGTACCAGATATATTCTTGAAGAGCAGATAAATAAAATCCTGCCTTTTGAGTTGCCTTTTTATTTTTAAAGGAGCTTCCCATTGAAACAAAACAAACACAAACACCTCGTAGTGAACAGAGTGATGACTGTCTCAGTGGATCTCTCTTGAAAAGCCAGCTCCATCAGGAAAATCTGAAGTACCATCAACATGGGCCCTTTCTAGAAGAGTGTGGCATGTAGTTCCACGTTGTATAATGCTCACGTGGTAGATATGATGAAGTCCTAGCAAACCACATGCGCCAGGCTTTTCACAGAGAACTTGCCAGCAGACTCCATGTCGATTCTGTCGTATGGTGGGATGTCGCGATCTTGGCTGTCTCTGCCTTTCAACGACACAGCAGAGGATTGGGCTTAAAATGCAGCAGGGAGCTGGGTTATGCTTCAGGTAGAACTGTGATCCGTTCTGGATAGTTAAAAAGTGGGTGAGTGACACACGGTATGGATTTTTCAGGAGCTTAAACATCGCAGGTAATTCCCAGATTCTTCGAGTGTTAAGATCATCTTCTCTAACCCTCTTGTTACAGGTTAGTGTCAAAGAGATCGTTTACCTGAGATAATTCAGGGGTAGCCTTTTCTGAGGGTAAGGAATGTCTTAAATGAGTGCCTGGAAGTTTTTTCCAGAAGCCCAGCTCTGTGGCCACACAGGTTCTGTGTGTAGATGCCATGAGCTTTTAATTTAGGTAAATGATGTGTGTGTATGTGTTTGTCGAAAATGGAGGAAATGTGCTTCTTGCTCTGGAGGAGTCTGGGGTCAGACTGTGCTGCTGCTTCTATGGTGAATCAGTTTGGTACCCTGAAATAAGTGATCTCTGGTGGGCGGGACCAGAGAAGTCCCACTTAAAGAGGCAGTACCACTTAAACGGAGCTGTAGGGAGTAGGTGTGGTTGCTGCCTGTTCAGCAACCTATTGGTTGCCTATTTTTTTAAAAACCTTTTGATTGTGAAAGTTTTTAGGGGTACAGAAAAGCTAAAAGGATAGTGCCATGGATAACTGGATGCCCACCACTGAGATTCATCAGCTGTTACCACTTTGTCATACTTGCTTCACCTCTGAATGTGTGTGTGGACTTGTGTGTGTGTGTTGTTTTTAGCCACGTGTTAGTAAGTTACAGGCACCATGACATTTTCGCCCCTACGTGTACCCCTTGGCATCTCCTAACACCACTCTCTTACACGACCCTAATTCCACCACCAAAAATGGAAGGAAATGAACTGTAACACATTCATCTCTAGTTCCTAAGCTCTATTTCAAATTTCTCTAATTGTTCTTGTCTTTTGTAGCTATTTTTTCCAAACCTAGATTTGATCAAGGGTCACACATTGCATTTTGTTTTTCTAACACTTAAATATCTTTTACTCTAGAACAGCTGCCTTCTAATCCTACCTTTTCAATTTTTTTGGTGTGCAATAAGTACAATAAGTGCATATTTATTTAATTTTTAATTTTATTTATTTTTAAAAAATTACTTTATTATTGTTCAATTACAGTTGTCTGCATTTTTCCCCCACCACTCCCCCCACCCCAGCCAGACCCACCTCCCTCCCTTGCTTCCACCCTCCCCCTTGGTTTTGTCCATGTGCCCTTTATAGTAGTTTCTGATACCTGTTCAGTTTTTGATTCATCACCTTAACCTATAGAAGGAACAGACCAGTTTTCTTATAACTTTTTTGTTGCTACCTTACCAAGGAAGTTTCTAGCAAACTGAAGATTTAAGACATTTTTTTAAAACTCGAGAGTCAGGCATTTCATAGGAGATATCTCGCCAAGTTGGCAGATGTTGCTCCTGACATATAACGTTTTCAGTAGTTAAAGCACTTTAATCTTTATTTGCAAAAATAATACAAGGCAGTTGTAAAGCGTTAGAACCATTTAGAAGTCTGTAACATACAAAGCGAGAGTTCTAGTTAATATCACCACTGGGCAGCCCTGAGATAACAATTCGTCATTTTGGTGAACTTACGTTCTTTCTCATTTGTGCGTGTTTTTCGTTTGTATGTTATCAAAACTGTGATAACCTGAACACGTTGTTCTGCAGCTTACTTTTTGTTTTTCACGAACTAACTGGGCATGATGGATGGAGTCCGAAAGAATGGGTAGCCAGGGTTGTTTTTCATAGTGGCGGGGAGAAATGTGCACCAAGCCAGCCGCATTCCTTCATCGGAGTTTAAGATGAGACACGCCCCGCTGTAAAAGTGCCTGGCCCAGGATAAGCTATGTGGCTTGTGCCCACAGAGCAAATATTTCCCTCTGTTCGAGGCTCCCCAGCTAATATAGGAATTGAATCTTGGGGTTTTGTGCTCTGTGTTTCAACAAGTTGTGGAAATGTGTGAGTAGTAAACTCTTCAGGGCTCTGTATTTGAATTCTGGCTCCCTTTCTGCCTTTTGGGGGCAGGTGCCTCCATACTCCTTTCTGGAGATATCACAAGATCGTCAGGTTGGCTTACCTTGGAGGTAAACACGATCCTCTGCCAACATAAAGCGATTTAGAAATGTTAATATATTTCACCAAGCCAAAGTCTCTACTGGCCTGTGTATTTTAAGCCGTCATAAAACATATACTTGTCATGCTCAGGAATGTGCTGAGGGCAGGCCTCAAAGACCGGCCAATGCAGTGTGGGGAGTGTGTTTTGCAGTGTTGTAGGGCTGTGCCCTGACAACTTGCACGAGGCCTGGGGTAAGGACATGGAGCGGCTGCTAAATACCGAAGCCACTTTATTCATTCAAGAATTCCTGCAAGTCGTTAGCCATGTATGTCCACCCACGTTGGGGGAGGGGGCTCAGGGGTAACTCTGTGGATGAAGGGTTTGAAGACCAGCTGAACCTGCCGGACTTAGGGAGTCCAGTTAACAGAGCAACCGCATGGACAGGAGATGGTCCTCTGAGCTTGATGGACAGCAGAAAGGCGAGGGGTCTGGAGGCCACTTGGCATTTCTTTGGAAACTAGGAGCCCCCGGGTGAGAGCAGTGCAGGCTCTGGGCGGAGTGAATGGAAGAGCCCCTTGGTTGTTGTTATTTATGGCTGTGTTCTCCATGGCAATGCTGCCCTCACTGGCATTTGGCGGGACCCCAGGGAGTCAGGAAATCTCGTTATTAGGAAATTAAATCATCTGTAATTTGGTGACAAGGAGTTTGCATCAAGCATTTTGTAACAACAAAATGACGGTAGGGTGGTTCCCCACATCTAGCTGTCGAACTATGTGGTAGAAGAAGGACAAGGAATTAGAATTTTAAGCACATTAAAGAATTTATCTATTTAAAAGTGTTTTTAAAAGGTGGCCCTGGCCAGGTGCCCTGTGGGAGCGTCGACCCAAACACCGAATGGTGGCGGGTTCCCTGCCTGGTCAGGGCACACACCTCGGTTGGGGGTCGATCAGGACGCGTGCGGGAGGCAACCAATCAGCGCTTCTCTCTCACATTGATGTTTTGCTCTCAAATCAATAAAAAGCATTTTCTTGGGTGAGAAGTAAGAAAAAAAGTAGGAAGCTGCTGACTGGATTGAATGTGTAGTTCCTCCATAGTCTGCTATTTATTCTAGGTAGATAAAGTAAACAAGAGGAGAAGTACTAAAATACTAAAGTCAACGTGGAGGCAGACCGTGCTAGTGAGAGCGAAGAGGCGGTATCACACACGGTCAGGAGGGGCAAGATAAGGTTTTGATCAGGGGATCATTTAAATCGGTGAACCTCACTTTTTTACTCTGGAAAACAGGGGTCACAAAAGCTACAGCGTAGGGTTATTCACGAGGTCGCGATGAGGTAATATGTGTTTAGAAGTTAAAAACAACTGGTCAGATTCCACTCTGATTGCTTCCTTGAGCGGTCAGGATTGTAGCGTGGAAAAAGCATGCACATCGCAGTGGCATGGACGGGTTTGGATTGTTTGCTGTGCAGGCTGCATTCTTGGACGAGTTCTTTTACTCTCTCTGAACCTCTGTTTCTTCAGCTATGAAGTGGATTTTATCCCGTCACCCTTGCCAGCTGAGACAGAACGCATGGGCTCTCCCCGGTGCCTTGCCGGTTCTAGAATCTGGACGTTCATCTTGGCGGGGAAGAGGGGGTGCCGTCTGTCCCGTAGCTTCCCTTCAGCGACTGACCTGCTGCTTCTCTGTCTGCAGCGATCCTGCAGAGTGCCACACTGGGTATGGACACCCTTTCCCGCGTCGGAAGGAGCGCGGCTGGTAGCGCCATCGCCTGGTCCTGAAGCTGCTAAGGCCACCTCAGGGGCGCGGACGCCAGGATAGGAAGGCAGCGTCCAAGGGCCACCGAGCCATGCCTTTCGGCCTGAAGCTCCGCCGGACACGGCGCTACAACGTCCTGAGCAAGAACTGCTTTGTCACCCGGATCCGCCTGCTGGACAGCAATGTCATCGAGTGCACGCTGTCGGTGGAGAGCACCGGGCAGGAGTGCCTGGAGGCTGTGGCCCAGCGGCTGGAGCTGCGGGAGGTAAGAGTCTGCGTGATCGAGAGTGTGAGCGAGAACTCACCCAGGGGGCCAGCCACCTGTCTTGTGGCACTTACCGTGCTCTTGAGCCTCTGCCTTGTGTTTAGAAGAATTTTGTTATACTTTAGCACAGGCTTGATCATACAGCCTTTAGGGGAGATGAGCAAGACACCCCCTAGAGCTTCCACAGGGTGGTGGCCTCCCTTTGTTTCCGCGGCTGAGGAGGTGCTGGGGGGATTGAAAATGAGAAACTCTCCTCGCCAGAGTCATTCTCTGTCTTTAAAAGAGTTGAGTGGAGAGCTGGAGCGGTGGCATTCCTGCCGCACCTCAGGGACAGAACTCCCATCTGGGGGGTGGGTGCATCTGCTTTTATTTCTGCTCGTTTGTTTCTATAGTTTCCTCTCCTAAGGAGAGAAGAAGAGAATAAGCACTTCGAGTGAGTGTGAGCAGTGAGGCTTTTTGTGGGGGCTTGGCAAATGGGGGTTGTGTTCTTTTTAAGATTCCTCCTGGCCCTTGCTTTCTTTGCACTGCCTGCGAGACTTCTTTGGGCTTTTACGCAAACACAGGGTTGACCAGAAAGACAGCCGTGCCGTCACTATTTAGAAGGGATCCTCACTTAGGGCAGTGTGTCCTTTCTAACAAGCAAGCCCTGTTTTTTTTCAGTCTTACAGCCGTTTCAGAGAAGAGTCGTGGTGAGTAATCCATACAAGCATTGGTGTCTTGAGAGCCATATGTCATACCGGCCGGTGGGTAAAGTGGCATGATTGAATGGTTGGAGCCATGTGTCATACCGGCCGGTGGGTAAGGTGGCATGGTTGAATGGTCAGAGCCATGTGTCATACTGGCTGGTGGCATGGTTGAATGGTTGCCAGTGCTGAAATGACTATAGTCTCCTGAGATTCAAGCCGTATTGAGGACAGATGAAGCTTAGTCATTGTCCTAGGCCCTGTGACATCATTGCCTAAGACCTCAGGGTGATCGAGAAGAGGTGGGTGGTGCCTGTTGGAAGTGATGGTGTTTGATGTCCTCACGATCCACCTTCCGTCCGTGCGCACAGGCACTGGGGCCACGGAAGGGCTTCCTTCCCCCTTGGTGTCTTCCGCAGACCGACGTTCATCCCCTGCGGGACTGCCCCACTGAACACTTCTGTCTCCTGCTGGTCGTCATGTTAGTACTCTGGGTGCGGAGCTCAGGTCTTTCCTCTGAAGTTCGTTTTCCAGCGCAGGAGACTGTCCTGCCCAGCAGATCTGTGTAGCTCTGACACAGTAAGATTACCATGTGCTGTCCTTGCTGGTTGGTGGCCGGCTCTTTTTTGCTTATTAGTAACTCATTGGGTGTGCATATTTAAACATAGGTATGTGCATGGGTATAAAGGAAGAACCTTAATACTGTAGATCGGTCAAGCAGGAGATTGGTCTAAATGCTTGGGAAAATTTTGGTTATAGATCATTTAAAAATATAGGTAGTGGTTTCACTGTGGAGTATTCCCACTAATTCACAATAGAGTAACTGAGTATTCTTCACATGCTTGGGGAGGCATATAGCACGTGTTTCAGTAGGTACAAGTGCAGGCTTCGGAGTCTTGGACTGGAGTTCAAGTTGTAGTCCTGTCGCTTTTGAGTTAGGTGACCTTACTTACTTACCTTATAAGGCTGCCGCAAGCATGAAGGAGATACAGTATGGAAAATGCGTAGTGCTGTCTCTAATAACATGTACTTGTTCCAGTTTGAGTCTTTTTCGTTGAAGACGATCTTGAGCAACTGCAGTGCATCAGGCACTGTTTTAGGGCTTGATGAAATGAAGCTGAAGAAGGCACAGTTTTATCGTTAGGACATGCGCAGACAAGTAGGGGAGCCCAGCGCTGAAACCAACAGTTAAGATTGACCGGAGGCCCCGTGGAGAGGCAGGGCAGGCACCGCGGTGCTGTCCTTAGAGAGTCGTGCAGCCCCAGCAGGGGATGGGAGGTTCCAGTGACAGAGCCTTCGCCCTTTGAACGGGGACTGGGCACGAAGAACTGGAGTTTTGCAGATCCCCGCGTGTGAAAAAGCAGCCCATTCTGGGGACTGAAGAGCCACCTCTGCTGATCAGCAGGTAGAGCCGCCGTGGAAGGTGCAAGGTGAGGCGTGTCTGGAGCTGTGCGCGGTAATAATTACTCCTGGCAGACTATTGTTTCGGCAGCGAGAGGGCAAAGGTCAACCCCGGATCATCCCGCCATGTGTTGTCACAGAGGATAACGCGGTGAAGTCCACATTCTGCTGTCAAGTGTGTGTGGCAGTGTGACTGATCTTCTGATGCCAAGGTGTGGTTGGCGTTTCATGCTGGCTTTATTTTGACGGGCCCCAAACGGGTGCATCCACCTTAGAGCAAATCACTTTCTTTTCTAATTGTGTGCTTTTGTTCGGTGACAGGTGGCATGGGAGGTGTGGGCTTTTGTGAAACAATCCCAGAGCTACTCCTGAGCTGCAGGGTGAGGCAGAGCCGTCTAAAGCTTCGCTCTGCTTCTCTGCACCCACACCTCGAGGAGGAATGCGCCCTCCACCCGGAAGCCGGAGTGGCGGGGGGCGAACACCAGGTCTGCTCCTGCCCCTGTACGGTGCACTGGGGGCAACTTCTGAGCAGAGCGGATGGTGGCGCTTTAGAGGAGAAGGTGGAAATCCGTCTAAACGATCACAAAACGCTGAGTCTTGAAGAAGGCCCGGAAACCAGACTATGGTGGACTTTTGGCTTGGCCCTTAGAAGTGTCCTGTGGTTTAGGTGCATCCTAAACTTTATGATAGCTTTAGGTTAGAAAAGGAAAAATGACTTTTATTTAATTATTTACCTACGTTAATTACAATTTGTGTTTTACCACTTAATTTTATTAGATAATTTTTTAAAGCAGCTTTAGGTTTACAACAAATTGAGTGGAGAGTGGAGTTCTGTAGACCCCCTGCCCCCACCCACCCCTACCCACTTCTCTGCTATCAACATTCCAAACCACGGGAGAACATTTGTCACAGGTGATGAACCCACATCAGTACAGCATTATCCCCCAGAGTCCACAGCTTCCATTAGGGTTCATTCTTGGTGTTGTATATCCCGTGCGTTCTGACAAAGTATAATGACATGTATCTATATATGGTAAGCTTTTGGGGGTCAACTTTGGTTTTGAAAGCACAGATGTGCTCCCGTTTCAAATGGCGTCCAGCAGGGCCAGGCCTGGTTCCTAGGGCCAGCCGTACCGTCAAGCCCAGGGAAGCTGAATCTGATAGGGCCCCTGCTCCGAGAAGCCCTAGGGTTTAGAGAGCAGGACAAGCAAGCCACGGAGAGAACAGCCGGTGCGGAGGCACAGGGACAGGAAAGCATGTGGAACTCCAGGGAGGGGCCGAGTTCAGTTTGCACTGATGCATTCGTGTGTGTTGTGGGGGGCGGGCCCTGGTGGGGAGGGTAGGAGTGTGGAAGGGCTGGTGGGAGTCCGCCTTTGAAGATTTTAATGTGTCTGGATAGGGAATTTTAGCTAGATTCTGAGGGTATTGTTTCCAAAATGTGTCCCAATAATGAAAGTAATTGCCACCTTTCAATGTCCTACCTGTTGTGCTGTGCACTTTCCGAATATCCACTCATTTGGCTCTCATAACCAGTCTGTTAGGTGGGTCCTCTTGCTACCCCTATTAGGGATGTCGGACCCCAAGACAGAGCGACCTGCTTGCCTTCCCTGGGCTGCTTCATACACAGGCAGGCAGCCCCCACGGTTCTAACTCCCCGGGATGTGCAGGGACAGAAAAGGGACCGTGGTAAATGCTTTGGGAAACACCCTTGGGAGCCCTATAGATTTATAAAAAATATGTTGACTCAGTGGTTCTCAGTTATTTTAGTGTTTTATCACATTCTTCGAATTGTTTGGGGAATGAAACACTACCGTGAGATGGGAAGCCGTCAAAGGATTTTAAGGCGGAGCCTGGCGTGATCACCTTGTGGCCCAGGAAGGGAACCGAATGGCAGAAGAGGAGCGAGGATCGGGGGGCAGGAGGAACAGATCGGCCGGTCAGGTCGACATAACAATAATCCTGGCAGGAGGAAATACAATGAACTCCTTATGGAAACAATTCTTTTTCATTGTTTTAAGTTCAGAAGAAAAAATAGGTGTGGATTTCTGGCCAAGAACGTTATTAAAGGAAGAGGTTTAAGAAACAGGCTCAGAAAATCAGAATTCTGATAATATAGTGATGACATACTTAGGACAATGGACCTCACCCCTTTGTTCTCCCCAAACGAAATCTTTGGGGGAACGTTAATGTAGAAAACGTTTGCAGACGGGACAGCTCCTGTAGTTCCATTTCCTTGGGACTCCCCCACCCCCCCACCCGCTTTGAAAAATCCCTGACTGGCGTTAAGAGAGAAAGAGTTCAAACTTGGTGGCCTCATGACTGAGTCTCATACTTTAAAAATAAATACATGGAGAAACAGCAGAGTTTGGTGGCTAGGAATGTGAGCTGGGATCAGACTTCCTGAGTTTGAAAACTGGCTCTGCTTCTTATTAGCTATGTGATCTCGGAAGGTGACTGACTGACTCCCTGGTGCTTCTGTTTTCTTACCTGTAAACGGAGATGGTTAGAGTTGCAACGCCCAGGAGTTGTCGGGGGATTAAACGAGGTAGTGTTTACACAAAGTCATTGTCCATATTTCAGTGTGGTGGTCTCCTCTGCAGGACACCACGCATGCTGCCTGGACCCCGCCTCCGCAGTGCGGGGACTGGGCTCTTCCTCTAAGTCTGCTTGTTCCATTTTTAGATGGCTTTCATTATTGCACACTGTGACGGCACATTGAAGCAAGTCTTTCAGTTGCTTGAATGGTTACCATTCCTTTGAGATTGGGCTGTCCGATGTGATAGCCCCTGGCCCCATGTGGCTACTGAGCACTTGAAATGTGCTAGTTTGATCTGGGATGGGCAGTCAGTGTAAAAAATACAGAGCAGATTTTGAAGACCTGGTGTGGAAAAAGACTTAAAATGCTTCACTAATCAT